CCGGAAATACAGGCGCGCGCTACCACGCCCGGCTGATTTTTTGATTTATTGTAGAGATGAGGTCTCGCTGCCCAGGCGGGTCTCGAACCCGCGGGCTCAGACAATCCACTCACCTCAGCCTCCCAAAGGCACAGGATTACAGGCTGAGCCACCGAGCCCGGCTACCCAGGTTTTAAGAATAAAACACATTCACTTTTTTTTTTTTAGCTGAAGAGATAAGATATGTTTGTTTTTCTTTTCTCTTTTATCCCATTTCTTTGACTGTGAAATTATTTTCTTGTTGAGGACATATGACAATAAAGATCCTTTATAAGCCAGTATTGTTTTACAGTGTTTTCCTTAATATGATCTGTGACCTAAGTAACTAATTCAGTCTCTTCATTCATGAATTTATAGCATGTTAAAAGATTACTTAGTGAAAACAAGGAAGGAGCTACTTGTCTTTCCAAGCTGAATCAAAATGCAGTTTAAATGGAAAAACTTATGAAAACCCTTAAAGCCTCTGGTTTTAAAAGTAGACAGTCAAGAGGTTAGTCTTTGCTTTAAAAAAAATGAATAAGTAAAAGTAGACAGTTTATATCTTAAATTAGCTAATTATTTAAAAATTAAGGAGTAGTAGCCTGGCACAGTGGCTAACACCTGTAATCTCAGTACTTTGGAAGTCCGAGGCAAGAGGATTACCTGAGCCTAGGAGTTTTAGACCAGCCTGGGCAGTATGGTGAGACTTTATCTCTAAAATAAATCAAGATAATTAGCTGGGCATGGTGGCACGCACCTGAAGTTCCAGCACTTGGGAGGCTGAAGTGGGGAACGAATTACCTGAGCCCAGCAGGACAAGGCTGTGGTAGCCGTGATTGTGCCACTGCATTCCAGCCTGGGCAACAGAGTGAGACCCTGACTCAAAAAATAAAATAAATAAAATAAAAATTAATGAGTAGTTGTTTATCGAGATGCATCTAAGCTTAGTGCATGTCTAATTGTCATTTTTTCAAAAAATCTCATTAGTATAGGGACAAATAAAAAGATATTAAGTCATCTGTTAAATTTTTCTGAATTTTAAATATTTCAGGTTTAGAATAGAGATATTAAGTTAACTGACTTTAAATAGTCTCTGCTTAATTTTAATTTGTTGCCTGAAGTCATTTTTATTGGATTAAACTTAAATATTTAAGAAGGAATTTGTAATTGTTAGTAATTTAACTGAAAAAAAAATCATACTAATATAATTTAAACAGGAATTGATAAAATAATTCTTGTTATGCTTTGTACTGAAAAAAATATGAGCCAGCTGTAGTGGTTCATGCCTATAATTCCAGCACTCAGGGAGGCCAAGGCAGAAACTGCTTAAGTCCTAGAGTTTAAGAGCAGCCTGAACAGCATAGCGAAACCCCATATCCACCAAAAAAATAAAAAATAAAGTTAACTAGGCATGTTGGCACTAGTAGTCTCAGCTACTGTAGTGGCTGAAGTGGAAAGATCACTTGAGGACAGAATTTTGAGGCTGCAGTGAGCTATGGTTATGTCACTGCACTCCAGCCTGAGTACCAGCAAAACTCTGTCTCTTTAAAAAAAAATAAATAAGTTTTTCACAGTGTGATTCTATAGAAAATTCTAAGTCTGAGTATTTAATGATTTCTGTTACCTGGGCTTTAACTTCTTCCAAATGAATAAACATTTTGGCAAAATGGTGGTCTGTTTCCCAACTTCAATTACTAACTACCATTTTATAGTGAAGCAGTTCTAGGGCTGGCTGACAAGTAGGGCCCATAGGGAATGTGTGCGTCTTGGGATGAGACAGTTATCAAAACTTTTGAGTTTCCAGGTATTGTTGTGCTCCAGAGGGGAAGCTTAGTTCCAGACCTTTATCTATTTATTTGATTTTAAAGATGTGGGGTACAATTCAGGGTTAGGTATACAAATATTCATTACGCAGGTACCCTTGTTGATGAGGTATGCACCCCCCCTTCCCCAGAGTTCCAGACCTTTAAAGGTTAGCTGCCATTCATTGTACCCTTGCAATTTGACCTGCGCTTCAAGGATAAGGAGAGCCATGAATTGGCAAAGGAAAGTAATTCACTTAAAGGTACTCCACAGCCAGAAAGAAGGTAAACATGGACAGCGTCCCAAACAAGTGACTTTTCAGTGAAATAAAACTATTGGAAGAAAGAATAAAACATGTTATCTTGAGCTGCTCAAGAGAAACAAAGTCGTAACATGCTCTAATCATAGCATAAAAGAATTCAAACAAAAAGTGAGGAAAAACTTGTTTTTGTTTGTTAATTTGTAGAGAGGATGATTTTTGTTGGGACTGATCATGGTCTGGAAGATTAAGAGTATATTAAAATATACAAAGAAGGAGAAAGATCAAATGGAGATGTAATACACAACTAAAGATATAATAGAGAATTCCTCTAGGTTGAAGAAGGATTGAAAGAGCTGCCTGAATTCCATCCTAGAGCACTGAGGGTGATAGGCAGACAGAACAGGCTACTTACAATGAAAAATGATACGATATACACTGGACTGTAACAATGGAAACTAGAAAGAAGTACAGTGATATCTACAGATACAGAAAACCAATCTACGGATTACTAAGAAAAGAGCTGTGCCTATACCCAGTCAAAATATCACCTATTTGTTAGGGTGAAAATGAGACATTTGTAGATATACAGGAATTCAGAGGCTATATTAGCAAGTCTTTCATCTAGGAAAAGTTCCCAGTCAAGATTTCTCACCAAATAATTCCCAACAGAGACTTTTAGATAGAAAACAGACAGAAGAAGAGAGAAAATAGTGGTGAGCAAATGAATTTCACAGTGCATTTAATTAACTCTTAGTGGATAATGATAGAGTGATGGTATATCAGCATATTCCTTCGTCCTCTAAATTTCCTGAAAGTTTGCAGCTGATCCAGAAGCATGATTAGTCTCAGGTTCTGTCCCTCTGGCAAGGCCACAGGTGATGTTCTTCTTGTGGGAGGCATATAATTTTTTTGTTAAGATAATAGTCATTGATGCTCAATTCTAGATCCATTAATTCATTAGGGATTTCCAAAATGTTGATATTCTGTTATTCTTTTTCACTTATAGCTAGGACACTTTTATAGAGAGATACACCCCTTCATCTAACTGTTTGGTTACTTGATGATATTTTCATATAGGGAAGGCGGAATATATGTTTGATTATTCTTAATTTACCAGTTTACAAGATAATGCATTGGTTCTCTGTCCCTTTTTTTTTTTGAGTTGGAGTCTCACTCTTCTGCCTCAGTCTTCCAGGTAGCTGGAAATATAGGCGCATGCTCCCATGCCCAGCTAATATTTTATTTATTGTAGAGACAAGTAATTCCCAACAGAGACTTTAAGAGTCTCGAACCCCTGGGCTTAGGCAGTTCACTCGCCTAGGCCTCCCAAAGTGCTAGGATTACAAGATGAGCCCCAAGCCCGGCCATATGTCATCTTATTGGTGTGTGTGTGTGTGTGTGTGTGTGTCTTAAACTCATGTGGTTCTATACTTGTGATCGATTTCAATACATTGCAGTTATCTTTATCAAAGCTCAGGTTGTCTCATCTTTGACCAGTGGGAGCAAAGGTGTTTCCTGAGTCCATGTGACATGACCCTAACCATCTTTGGCTTTAAAAAAAAAAAAAAGGACAGTAGTTTTTGTTTTGCTTTTCAAAGCCCTCAGATTGTTTTCTGTGCCTTTAGGAAGGTGGATTTTAGGGATTTGGCTCCTAGGATTTTTGGAACTTGGTGATATGATCTTTGATAGAATTTATTTTGAACTTGTGTTACTTTTAAAACTTAATGGTTTTATTTATTTATTTATATATTTGAGTTGGAGTCTCACTCTGTTGCCCAGACTGGAACGCAGTGGCCGCGGCCACTGCAGCCTTGACCTGCTGGGCTCCGGCTATCCTTCTGCCTCAGCCTTCCAAGTAGCTGGAACTACAGACGCGCGCTACCACGCCCAGCTAATTTTTTGATTTATTGTAGAGATGAGGTCTCGCCAAGTTGCCCAGGCGGGCCTCGAACCCGCGGGCTCAGGCAGTCCACTCACCTCAGCCTCCCAAAGCGTGGGATTACAAGCTGAGCCACCGAACTCGGCAATGGTTTTATTTTATAGGCTACATGAAAACTCTAAAGGAATCAGCTTCTCAGTAATAAATTTAGGGACATATGTTAAAATGGTTTATTCAATCAATTAATAAATATTTGAATGCCTACTTTGGACTAATTTCCACAATAGGACAGCTGAAGAATTATTTCAATAAAATAAGTTCCAAGGACTGATTTTAAACTTAATTTTTTCTTTCAGACCTGTCACGAAATCGCCTCTCAGAAATTCCTATAGAAGCATGTCACTTCGTTTCTCTTGAAAATCTCAACTTGTACCAAAATTGTATTCGGTATATTCCAGAGGCAATTCTAAACCTACAGGCTCTAACATTCTTAAATATTAGGTGAGAATATTGTTTTCTTATTTAAAATTTTTGGTTTATGTGGTCTTTTCAATTTCTCTTCTCTCTACATTATCTGTCCATACCAGAAGTTTCTTTGTATAATCTTAAGATACATTATCAGTATTTTCTGTGTCTGTCTAATTTCTCCCTTTATCCTTGACTTTGCAACACAACTACTCCTTGACTTATGATAGGGTTACATCCCGATAAACCCATTGTTAAGTCAAAAATGCATTTAACACATCCAGCTCATACGCATCATACCTTAGCCTTGCCTACTTTAAATGTGCTGAGAACACTTACATTAGCCTACAGTGGGCAAAATCATTTAACACAAAGCCTATTTTATAGTAAAGAATTGAATAGGTCATATAATTTATTGAATACTGTACTAAAGTGTGGTTACTTCTGAATGCCTGTTGTTTTTGCACTATCATAAAGTCAAAAAATTGTAAGTCAGCCATCATAAGTTGTGATGTCTGTGATTAACAAACCCTACTAGGCATTAACCTGATAAGCTTGCAGCGGTCTTATAGCAGTGGTTATCCAATTACATTTTTCAATTAGCTTCATCAAATAAGAATAGTAGAACTGAAATGACTTCATTTGTTTCTTGTGACCATATATTTTTGTGTATTAAGTTCTGCGTATATAAATGCATTATTAACTCAGCTACTCCACTTTTTCACATCTTATAAGAACTCTTGTTTTATTTCACTGTAAAAGTTATAAATATTCACTAAAGAAAGTATGCAAAGCCGGGCTCGGTGGCTCAGCCTGTAATCCCAGCGCTTTGGGAGACTGAGGGGAGTGGATTGCCTGAGCCCGCGGGTTCGAGACCCGCCTGGGCAACTTGGCGAGACCGCATCTCTACAATAAGTCAAAAATTAGCCGGGCGTGGTAGCGCACGCTTGTAGTTCCAGCTACTTGGAAGGCTGAGGCGGAAGGATCACCGGAGCCCAGCAGGTTGAGGCTGCGGTGGCCGGGAGCGACCACTACACTCCAGGCTGGGTGACAGAGTGAGACTCCAACTCAAAAAAAAAAAAGTATGCAAATGTAGAAAAGTATAAAGGAAATTCATCTAAATGTTATGTCTGAGTTATATAATTATACATGATCTTTTCCTTTTTTCTATTTTTCCCATTTTTCTAGACTTTTAGTCAAATTTTTAAATGACTTTTCCCCTTGTCATGAAGTAACCTTTGAAAATATTTTTATATGTATTTTGTTGTATACTTTATAGACTTTTAAAAATTCATTCTTGTCTGGAATACTTTGTTTCTTCCAGTTTTTTGCCATGTTGAAAACAATACTATTAGAAAACTTTATATGTAAATGTTTACTTTTCTCTTTCCTTAAGAAAATGTCTGGAAATGGAATTATTGGATTGAAAATGCTCATGATCTAAATTAGTTAAATCAGTAAAAGATATTTAAAATGAGGAGAAAATTGGTCCTGTGGATTAAGAGGTTAAATCTACCTACATAAAAATTTAATGTATTTTTATCCTGATGATAGATGCTCTTTATTATTTTATTTCAGCTCTGATTTGCATGTTTTTATATAAGTAAAAATGTTTTACCTATAACTTAGTTGGTATGATACGAAATCACGACTTACCACCTGTTTTAAACAGGCTATATTTGAATCCTTTATGAGTAATTAATTTTAGTATTATAATGATGGAAGCAGATTACAGATTTTGCTAATAACTACTTGTGTTTATAATTCTTCTTATCTACCTTTCTTGAAATCATCTTTTCTTATATTCATTTTGCTTTAATAAAATAATATTATGTTTTCATAGTTCTTCATTATTTACAAAGGAGTTTTATTGTGTAAGAGCTCTGTAAGATGGTTAGGGGAAATATTAAGATCCTCAGTTTATAGATGAGGAATCTCTGTAAGATGAAAGGTTGAATGCTGTTCATCACAAAGCTGGCAACCAGTAGAATGAAAGCTAGAACTCAAATCTAACATTTTGTTTGTTTCTTGTAAGACTTATGCTTGTTATCTTACTGAGTACAAAGTGAGAAAGATAGAAAATATTTCTTCAGTTGTGGGCTCTGACTCTTCTCTTTTTCTACTTACCCGTTTAGTCGGAACCAACTGTCAACATTGCCAGTACACTTGTGTAATTTGCCATTGAAAGTCTTAATTGCTAGTAATAACAAATTGGTCTCACTTCCAGAAGAAATTGGACACCTCAGACATTTGACAGAACTTGTAAGTTAATTTTTTTATTTTTCTATTGTCCAACATAGATAGATAGACAGACAGATACACACACATGTGTATCTGTCTATATATCTTCATAGTCATACCATACTCTTTTATATAGTAAAGATCTGTTATTAAGATATGATCCTTCTGCCTCAGCCTTTCAAGTAACTGGAGATATAGGTGTGCGCCGCCATGTCCAGCTAATTTATTTATTGTAGAGATGAGGTCTCACCAAGTTGCCCAGACTAGTCCTAAAACCCTGGTCTTAGGCAATCCTCTCACCTCCACCTCCCAAAGTGCTGGGATTGCAGGTGTGAGCCACTATACCCGGCCTGTTAGACCACTATTTTTAGAACAAGTTAGACCTAGAAAATAAAGTCCAAAAAATGTATTTATTGACATTTCTTCAGAATTTAGGTTAATAACATGAACTAGTAGTAAACTAAACTCCAAATTCTTATTTTTAAATCATTTAAACTTTTTGTTTTTAGCTGTTCAATCCTGAATAAAAGAGCTATGTCTCACAGATGCTGCTTTTAGTTTTCTACAAAAGAGGTTAGCTGATACCCTCTCTTGGTCACTGCAGCCTCTACACCCTGAGCTCAAATGATATTCCCGTAGCCTCCTGAATAGCTGGGACTACAGGCATGTGACACCATGCTTGGCTACTTTTTATTTTATTTTATTTTATTTATTTATTTTTAGAGATGGGATCTCTCTGTGTTGCCCAGGCTGGTCTCAAACTTCTGGGCTCAAGCATCCTCCCATCTCACCTCTCAAAGTGCTAATTATGAGATTATGAGCCACCACGCCTAGCTTCACATTAATTTTTAAGTGAAAGTAAACTGCTGTCTTTTAACATATATATTTTCTAAGAGATATATTATAAATTACTATTATCTTTTGGCTCAGACTTAATTTTTCTGCCCTTTCAACTTTTTTATTCTAGTTAGTATTTGAACCTGTATCCTTTCAATTTTTAGAATTATTAGGTATTATCTTGTCTAATCTCATTTTATAGATTGTTTAAAGCAGATAAGTTTGTAATATTAGAACAATTTTTATTTTGCATTCTTTTGAAATAGGATGTGAGCTGCAATGAAATTCAAACTATACCTTCCCAAATGGGTCATTTGGAGGTGTTGAGAGACCTTAATATAAGAAGAAATCACTTAGTACATTTGCCCGAAGGTAAGAAATAGTGAAATAGGTGTGATTGTTGTTGATTTTTGGGTGGGGGGGGCAGAGATGAGGTCTTAACTTTGTTGCTTATGCTGGTCTCGAACTCCTGGGCTCATAGCAATCCTCCCACCTCAGCCTCCCAAAAGTGCTGGAATTACAAGCGTGAGCTACCATACCCGGCCTGAAATAGTTGTTTTATTTGTCTTTTTATTTTAACACTCTTTTGGTTCAATCAAGTCAAAATGTGTAAGACTTATGCCCAATATCTGGTTTATTTAATAGTGCTATCTGTTTTTCTTTTCTTTTTCTTTATTTCAATAACTTTAGGGGCACAAATAGCTTTTGGTTACATGGTTACATTGTATGTTGACAAAGAAGTCTGGGCTTTAAGTGTACCCACCATTCCCTCCTGTGCACCAATAGGTGATTTTTCGTTCCTACACCCCTCCTGCTTCTGAGTCTCCAGTGTCCACTATACCATTCTCTAGGCCTTTGCAGATCCTTAGTTTAGCTCCCATTTAGAAGTGAGAACATACTGCATTTGGTTTTCTGTTCCTGTGTTAGTTCCCTTAGGATGATCTCCAACTCTATCCAAGTTGCTGCAAAAGATATTATTTCGTTCTTTTTGACCATTGTGAATTTTAAAAGACTTTTTAGTAAAGTTTTGGTAACTATTGACCTTTGATTTTATTTTTAGATCTTTTCAACTTATGTAGTTGATAACTCAGGATAGGGTCACTGAAAATTTCAGTAAGCATGACTATTTGGGGGAAATTTATCATTTTGATAAAAGGATAGTTTAATATACTAGAAAACATTCCCACAATTAGCATGGACTTAAAAATGGACTTTGACCTGAACTTAACTTTATCCTTCACTGGAGATGTTCAGACACTAATTAGCCACGTGGAGGTGACAGGTATAGCAAATAATGAATGGGGCAAGAGACTGCACTGGGAGACTGGTTATCCTAGGCTGACTCTGGTATATATATTTGAATGATAAGGATGATTAAACAAGTAAATTAAGTATAACTTACCAACCTTTCAAAAATACAAATTCATGTAACAAAGTGCTATAAAAAAAGTGACATGGGAAGAACTATTACTAAGTTCAGATTTATTTAATTTTATTATAGATAGGTAGATAGGTAGGTAGATAGATATCTGTCTCACTCATATAATTAAGAGCAGTGAAACTCCATATGCCCATTACTCAGCAACAATAGTCATTGGTTCATGGCAAATCTTGTTTAATCTATACTCTCATTTACTTTCCCACAGTATATTTTAGATTAATTTGAGTGAAATTCCAGAAATTGATTGGTAAACATTTCAGAAAGATAAAGAATCTTTTGAAGGTGTTTTCATGACAGTGATTTTCTAGGGTCTTGTAACAAAGCATGACGAATATTGTACAATAAATATCAAATTATTCTATGTTTTGCTTTCACTGTAGAATCCAAACATTTACATCAATTTTATCCAGTATAATACTTCTAACATACTAGTGTAGCTTTGATATTTTGGATCTATGTAAACGTGTAAGAAAGTGACCTTTCCAGTCTACCTTTATATACTTACTGTAATCATACTATCTGAAAACTTGCATATCTGTCTTCTCACTAGCTTGTCCAGTAATAACCTTCAGACCTTTTACCTTCTTGCCTTCCTCATTTCTTCCAAGTTCTGTTTGCTACCAATTTAGGAATGTGAATGAAGGCCCTCAGCAGAACCAGAATCGTGACCTTGGGAACTTATTAACCCAAAATTTCTCTCTAGGATTACCCCTCTTCTCAGGACCCACCTCCTGTGGTTGATCTTTTTTTGTTTGTTTTTGTTTTTTGAATTGGAGTCTCACTCTGTCGCCCAGGCTGGAGTGCAGTGGCACATTCACTGCCACTACAGCGTCGACCTGCTAGGCGCCAGCCATCCTTCCACCCCAGCCTTCCAAGTAGCCAGAACTACAGGCACACGCTACCACACCCGGCTAATTTTTGATTTATTGAAGAAACGAGGTCTCGCCAAGTTGACCGGGCTGGTCTCGAACCTGCGGGCTCAGGCAGTCTACTTGCCTCAGCCTCCCAAAGTGCTGGGATTACAGACCGAGCCACCGAACCCGGCCTGTGGTTGATCTTTAAAGCGTTATTCATGTAGTAAGATTTACTTAATGTGAAATTAATTAATGAAAGCATTAGAATTTTTATAAAAATGAAAATTGAGGGTTTCAGATGAAAATTGAAATCTAATAGTTTTATCATCTAATTTATTTCTGTATTTTACTTTGGTTGTAGACTTACCAAGATCATAAAGAAATAGTTTCAGGCAGATTTTCTTCTTTGAAAAACTTGCACTCATGGTAGGTCTTTCTGCCATGAAGCTTCCTTTTTCTCTTCTTTCTTGAATAATTGTTTGAAAACTTTTAAAAAAAAGTTTCAGATGGTTTTTTAGCAGTTTATCTCATAATCTCAGTGTATGCAGTTGAACTGAGATGGCAAGAGAAGATTTATTCCAACCCAAGTTAATATAGAAATTCGTGTTAATTAGCTGGTAGTCTTTATCTTAACTACAATTTAGTAGATAATGTATTACATCTTTTGTTATATTTCCATTTTGATTTAAATTAATTTTAATTTTTACCAACTAATATATTATCCAAAAAGTATTAAAAAGTTTAAAATAATATCATTCCCCTGCCTCAAACTTCTTTATACATGGCCATAAGTATCTATCTTCACTAAGTTCTTTTGACTCTTCCTACTGGTGTTTGCTGATATATTTCCAATTGATATACTTTTGCAACTATTGCTGGATTTTGCGTCTTTGACACTTAAGTCAACTTCCTACTATGATAGATAATGATTTTTTTTTTTTTTTGAGTCAGTCTCACTCTGGACTGGAATGGCATGCTCATGGCCACCCCAGTTTTGACCTGCTGGAATGTAGTGGCATGCTCACGGCCTGCTGGAATGTAGTGGCATGCTCACGGCCACCCCAGTGTTGACCTGCTGAGCTCGGGCAATCCTTCCGCCTCAGCCTTCCAAGAAGCCAGAACTACAGGCATGTACTACCACGCTCAGCTAATTTTTTGATTTATTGTAGAGTTGAGGTCTTGCCAAGTTGCCCAGGCTGTTCTTGAATTCATGGGCTCAGGCAGTCCCCTCACCTCGGCCTCCCAAAGCGCTGGGAGTACAGGCTTGAGCCACCATGCCCGGCCTAGATGATGATTTCCTTTCACTGTCACTATATCACACCTTTACTTTCCTCTTCCTATCTTCCTAGTGTAGTTTAATCACCACCTTTTTTTTTTTTTTTTTGAGTCAGAGTCTCACTTGGTTGCCCAGGCTGGAGTGGCACAATCATAGCCACCGCAGCCTCAACGAGCTGCAGGCCTCAGGTCATCCCTCCGCCCCAGCCTTCAAAGAAGCTGGGACTACAGGAATGCATTACCATGCCCAGCTAATTTTTCTGATTTACTGTAGGGATGAGGTCTTGTCATGTTGTCCAGTCTGGTCTTGAACTCCTTGGCTCAGGCAGTCCTTTTACCTCAGCCTACCAAAGTGCTGGGAATACAGGCATGAGCCACCACACCTGACCCTTATCACAACTGTTGGTTAAATTGTTATTCAGTGTTTACTATAATTATATAATACTGTTCCCTGCCAATTCAAGTGATGTACTCTGATTTTAATTTCATTCTTGTACATCTTGGTGTTCTATAGTTTGTTTAATAATTTCTTATTTTTTAATATGCTTTTTAAAATCTGGCTGTGGATAATTCCAACCTCTTTTCCCACAACCTTCTTGGTCAAACCAGTCAGGTCATCTGTCACTTTTTTTTCCCTACATACCTCCCTTACTGAGTCCTTTTTCTTCTTCTTCTTCGTTGGCCTGGTTATTCTCTAGTGTTCTTGCCCAGCTTTCTTTCTTCTGCGTTGATACTCTGATTCCTGGACTCTGGATCTTTCTCTTTCTTAGTTTACTCCCTGTTTTGCTAGAGAACATCTTCTAGTAGTTTCCTGAGGACATGTCATAGGAAAATGTTTTTGACTCCTCACTTGAAAAGAAATGTCTTTATTCTGTGCTCATCCTTAACTATAAATTCTAGGTTGAGAACTGTATTCTTGTAGGATTTTGAATTCTTTTTCACTTTTAGCTTTCAACATTAAGAACTGATGGTTGAAAATATGATGCTATTCATTCTGAATCCCAGTCTTTGTGACCAGCTTTTTCTCTCGAGAAGACTGAGATTTTCCTTGTTTTTTTGCTGCTCTAAAATGTTTTGAATATGTACTATGGTATGAGTTATTTTAGTTTCGTGGGTTGGATACTTGGTGGGCCTCTTTCCAAACCTGACACTCATATCCTTCATTTTGGGAAATTATCTTATAACTCTTTGATAATTTCTTCCCCTCTGGTTTCTTTGTTCTCTTTCTGGAATTTTTAAAAATTATACGTTAGACCTCTTCAATAGCCTCTTCAGAAGCCTATGACTTCTCTTATTTTTTCTATTATTCATTTATTTGTCATTTTATGTTACTCTATGGTAAAATAGTTCCAACCATTCTTCTGAGTTTTAATTTCTGCCTTTATATTTTTCATTTCTAAGAATTTTTGTTACTCTGTGATTTTAAAACATTCCTTTTATATTTTAGTGATTCATTACTTTATCTCTCTGAAACTAAAGATATTAATTTTAGCTTTTCAAAATTTTGTTCTGCTTCCTACATATTACTTGTTTCTTCTCAGTTCCTTTTTTTGGTTTTTTGGTTGGTTAATTTGTTTTGATTTCTGCCTTTACATATTGGAGACTTCTCTAAATGTCTGGATCATATACTGTCTGTATATGGCTGACTAGAAGTTTTGAGTATACTGAGCAGAAAGTGTATAATGGTAATTAAGTAACAACCTTGGTAATTTATTAGAGGAAATTCCATGTCAATATCTAAAGGACTCTCCTCCAAAGAAAGATGCTTCATTTCTTCTATACATTGTGTGTATTTCTAACTACCATTCTAGAGCTGGGGCTGAGGTGGGTTGGGGTGGGAAGGTGCTGAGGTCTTGCTGCTAAGTGTGTGGACCTTCACTTAACTTGCATTTTTCAACTGGTAAATTATCCTGACTTTCCAGTGTGCGTCTGGTCCCTGAGTTTAGAGCACTTTCAATTCAATTCCACTGGAGAATAACTTGTTCTGACTCCTGGGGACAGGAAGAGGTGGTATCCCAACTGTGTGAGTTTGGGTTGGGGGCCTAGGCATCTAACTATTCTTATAGACTGTCACCCTTTTTTTAGCCTCACCTTTTTGTGGTATTGTGGCCTTCAGTTGCTAAGATTTTATGTAGTTTTGTGGGGGGCCAAACTGCTACTTTTTATTTGTATTCCTATCTGTAGGCAACTAGATTTCATTTTATACCACTTTGCTACCAGTCACTAAGAGAATGGAGGTAATTAAATACCTATGTTAAATTCACCATATTTAACTAGAAGCTTTTGTAAAAATTATGTAGTTTTAAAATATTAATGGTTCGTATCCATTTTGCCTTCACACAGAGCTAGCAGAATTGCCTTTGATACGACTAGATTTCTCATGCAATAAAATTACAACAATCCCTGTCTGTTATCGGAACCTCAGGCACCTACAGGTGATCACCCTAGATAACAATCCACTGCAGTCACCTCCTGCACAGGTAAGCCATAGTTGCAATCTGTTACAAACTTTTTTTGACAAAGGATAAAATTTAAAATGTAATTATGTGCATTTATCTTTTTATTAGAAAATAAGTTATTTTAAAATAAATTCACACACATATGCATTCTTTAGAAGCCTTGAATGAAAGAGATGGAAGACAGGTGATGTTTCCAGAGTGTTTTTTCTTTCACTGAGGTTTTTTGTTTGTTTGTTTTTTTAATTTAGGAATTCTTTCTAAATTTTTTTCTAACAAAGTTTCAGTTAAGTTTTTTCTGGTAAAACTTGGAAGTAGACAACATAAATGCTAGAGACAAATAAAAATGCTCAGCTTTCAGAGCAAAAAATTATCAATGCATTTCTTCTTTTGACTGTTGTTATTGTACCTTCATAGTTTTTAAAATTGTAAGTTCCTCATTTAGCCAGTTTGGTCATTTGTTTATCAGTGATGGAAATGAAGCTGTTTAGTAATAAAGTAATTGCATATAGAGTCTAGACACCCTATAATCTATAAATTTTTGCCAGTTTGTAATTTTCACTGTAGCTCTTTTTTAACTTTGCAACTTCTTGATGACTTTGTACAAGACTGTGGTGATCTTTATGATAACTATAAAAGTTTATGAGTAAACTTGCATAACAATAGAAGGGTCTCAAACATCTAAAGAATTTGTTTTGACTTCTGGAAAAGGTAGCAACGGAAATATATATAACTTTAATATTTCATCATTTCCTGCTCTTCTTTCTTCAAGAAAGCAGGATCAAAAGCATAATTGTATATGGTTGTTGAATTCCTAAAAGCAAAATTTGCTAGTATAATCTACTGGGGAGAAATGTTTTAAATTCCTGACTATGTATAACTAAACCATGTGATAAGTTTACTTGATATTTGAAAAGTGCTTGTAATCACAAATTATTTATTTTATCTGTTACTGAAACTTATTAGTGACTAGAAAACAAAAGCCTATATTTACTAGTTAATCACCTAAAGTAGTACTGAGTCAAATAATATTTGTTATAATAAGTATTACTTTTTAAATATTACTGTATGTACTTGATAGACATGCCTTGTATTCCCAATGTACATTAAGTAAAAGGCTGATTATGATAAAAAGGAACATACATATTTCAGATGAGTAATAATTTGGTTATATCTATATGTTTAGATATGTATAAAAGGCAAAGTCCACATATTTAAATACCTGAATATACAAGCTTGTAAGATTGCTCCAGATCTGCCAGATTATGATAGAAGACCCTTGGGTTTTGGCTCCTGGTAAGTATGTTCTGTTCTTTTGTCTATCTTACTTCACTGCACAGGGAATCAATTAAACTGAATCCTTAAATTTACCTGAATGGTTGACCAAAGTAAATAATCTGTTTTGACACTCTTATTCTCAGAATGCTAATATTAAGTGTAAAGTTGATTACCTAGATCTGACAAAACATATCTGAGGGTTTCTCAATCTTCACACTATTGACATTTAAGATTGGTTGCTTCTTTGCTGTGGGGATCTACCTTGTACATGTAAGATGTTTGGCAGCATCCCTAGCTTTCCCAGTCACTGGGACAACAATCAGAGAAGAGGTTCGGACACTAGGGCAACCATTATGGAGGATACCCAGAAATGGGGCATCCGTTGCAGAGGAGAGTAGTCACTGGGGCGCCCATTTGGGAGGAGGCCCAGTTACTAGGACATCAATTATAGAAGAGGGCTAGTCACTGTGATACCAATCACAGAGGTCCTAACCTGCCCATTAGAATCCAGTAGCACCCTCCCAGTGTGACAAACCAAAATGTCTCCAAATATTGCCAAAGTTCCATTAGGGGGTCCCTGCTTGAAAACTACTGGTCTGAGTGACTGGAATACTAATCTTAGCTCTGCTACTAACTAGCTTAAGGCAAGTCATTCAAACTTTCTGGGCTTCCATTTTCCCATAGGAACTGAGGAGGTCAGATTTGTTGACTGTGAACGTCACTTCCGGATCTTGTATGAATCCCTCGGCTATATAACATGTGACTTTTAAGGTCATCTACTTAGCACTCTCAATCATCTGGAGCAATCTTAAGTAGCAAGAATGAAATTCCAGGGCCTTTAAACAGGCAAGGTAGATGTCCCAGTAAAGATGCAGTAATGTTTCATGGACTTCATACAAAACAGAACAGATCTTCTCTTGGAACCTGTAAAGTTTTGCTTAGAAGCACTGTCCTAATGAGCTTGCCTCAGTAGACAAACAAGAATTGCAGAGTTGTGGTTTTTTGAAGCTGGATAATGTGTACATGGAGGCTCATACAATTCTGTTTATTTTGTTTTTATTTAGAAGTTTTCGTTTTAAATTAAAAGTTAAAAGAATGCCCATTTAGTTCTAATAGTTAAGTGGCTAAGTGCCGTGAGAATGTTTATTATAAGATTGCATCTGTTTTATTTCAATGTTAATGTTTAAAATATTAATATTAAACTTTGCAGTAACAATTAAAGTCTCTTTTTGGCAGCCACGAAGAACTGTACTCAGGTCGTCCTTATGGAGCCCTTGATTCAGGTTTCAATAGTGTGGACAGTGGTGATAAGAGATGGTCAGGGAATGAAGTAAGTGTTTCTTCTATTCCACATGTTATGACTCCTAATTAAAAGAATATAAAATGAGTCATAGCCGGGCTCGGTGGCTCAGCCTGTAATCCTGTGCCTTCGGGAGGCTGAGGTGAGTGGATTGCCTGAGCCCGCGGGTTCGAGACCCGCCTGGGCAGC